ACCCCCCCGCTGTAATAAAATGGCGGACATGCTGGTGAGCCTTACGAGAGCAGCTCCTTCTTGCTGTCTTTGGGCTGAAGCTTGACTTTGAAGTTGGGGGTGGTCACTTCCCCCGGGTACTTCCTGTCCTCTGGGCTGTCCTGCATCAGGTCACAGTCCTCCGGGTCCGAGGACACGTATGAAAGTCCCGTGTGCTCCATCTGAACAAACAGCATGTGTTGGTTGTGACAATGATCTCCATGCAACACTCTGAAAGGCGAATGCACACACGCCCCTCTTTACGCTCCTGTAGACGAGATGTTTCCAAATGTCCTCATAAAAAATTAACATTCAAGGCCCTTTAAATTTCTTTTGAAAAAGTTCAAAGGAGTGAGAATTAGCATATGCCAAATTCAGGATGGTGCAATGCACCTGACACCCTCCTCCGTGACTCAGAGCAGTGTTTTAACCACGCAGTAACTCTTGCATTTCCCTGGAACGTGAATAATAGAAAGAGGAAAAACGCCAACAGACAAAGAAAGGGATGTAAACAAGAAGTTCAGGCTCAGAATGCTTCAGGACCAGTTTTCCAGCTTGTACTGGTGTTTCCTTTGTGACTCGAGCAGCAGGAAACGCTGCGTTTCAGGACTCACTTCTGTCTGAGTGCTCTCACCTCGTCCACTTCCTCTTCCCTTTGGCGGTTGGGTTTGGTGAAGTCCAGAGGTCCATCCCAGTCCTCCTGTTTGTGTGCATGTAGGTTTGGTGAGGTCATCCCGCTGTGATGGAGAGAGGAGGAGGAGGAGGAGGAGGAGGAGGAAGGATCTGGTGACCGAACCCCGGGGCTGGTGCCTGACAGGCTACCCTCTCGCTTTATTGGCTTCTTCATGCTTAGGTCCAGGGTGCCGTTTTCGTCCACCTCGATGTCCTGTTCCTGAGGACAGAGAAGTTAAAGTCCCATTAGTTGTCACACACACAGGTGTGTGTGCGAAATCTGTTCTCCGCATTTGACCCATCCCCCGGGGGAGCGATGAGCTGCAGCCACGGTCGCGCTCGGGAACCATTTGGTGGTTTAACCCCCCAATCCAACCCCTTAATGCTGAGTGTCAAGCAGGGAGGCGTTGGGTCCCATTTTTTCAAAGTCTTTGGTATGACCCGACCAGGAGTCGAACCCTGACCTCCCAGTCTCAGGGCGGACCCTCTACCACTAGGCCACTGAGAAGGATTACTTATCAGCTAAACGACAGGTTTGGGTCTGTTCAACTGCACCTCAGAAACGTGCTGAAAGGTTCTAAAGCTGTTCTTTAAAGACCTGACCAAGTCCTGTCAGGTTCCCTCTCTTCAGCCTGAGAGCAGCTGTTTCACACCGAGCCGACAAGCTGAGCAGCAGCTTCATCAGGCAGCGTGGTGTTTTCATACTCTTGTAACCAGAAAAGAGTATTTCATTACCAAACACTGAGATTTCTGAAGGACTACTGGCTGGAAACGTTTAAATCGTGTGTAAAACATCGATTTCTTCTACTGTAGAAATCTTACTTTAGATGTTTTCCTCCAGTCCTGCAGCCATAAGCCTCCTTCAAACCTAACTACCTAAACCTAACCTGAGAAACAATAAAAGTGTGAAACTGCCATAGTCTGGGGCTTCAGACAACACCTGAGCCTTTATTTTAATTAAATAAATAATGTTAGCAGGAAAAGTTCCTCATTCTGCTAACAGGTTAGCAATTAGCTCATGGTAAAACAAGCACTTTACTGCTATAGCGTCTGGAGCTGTTGGCTAAACATGCTAGCACGTGTAGCTTGTGGGTTTTACACTTCAAAGGCTACAAAATAAAAATACATTAAAAAATCTAGAAAGGTCGGATTTTCAAATAACAACTATCATTTTACTCTGTAACACAATAGTACTACCACTACTAATAGTACTAATACCACTAATACTACTGCTACTACTATTAATACTACTACTGCTATTAATACTACCAATACTACTGCTACTAGTTCCACTAATACTACTGCTACTACTGTTAATACTACTACTACTACTACTAATACTACAACTATTATTACTACTACTATTAATACTACCACTGCTATAAATACTACCAATACTACTACTAGTAGTTCCACTAATACTAGTAATACTACCACTACTACTATCAATACTACTAATACTAATACTACCACTACTACTATTAATACTACTAATACTAATACTACTGCTACTACTATTAATACTACTATTGCTATTAATACTACCAATACTACTGCTACTAGTTCCACTAATACTACTGCTACTACTGTTAATACTACTACTAATACTACAACTATTATTACTACTACTATTAATACTACTACTGCTATAAATACTACCAATACTACTACTAGTAGTTCCACTAATACTAGTAATACTACCACTACTACTTTCAATACTACTAATACTAATACTAATACTACCAAAACTACTATTAATACTACTACTAATATTATTAATACAACTACTACTACTACCACCATACTACTAATACTAATAACAATGGTATTAATACTGCTGATACTATTTCTAATAATAATATGAGTGTGTGTGTGTGTGTGTGTGTGTGTGTGTGTGTGTGTGTGTGTGTGTGTCAGTCTATACATCAAAGTGAGGACCAAATCAAGTGATTTACCTGCAAACTGAGGACATTGGTAGTGTAACAGATCAAAGTTATAATTTTCATCAACAAAATGATCAGAAACGAACTTTCATTTGCAGAACAGAGAACTCTGCTCCGGTCCTGTGACATACGATTCTCAGTCAAGGTCTCATGCAGACGAAACTTCTACATCCTCACTATGAATAAACATCACCTTCCTCAAAGTTCCTACGTGACTTTACAACTTATAGGTTAAAATAATCAAATGTGTTGTAGGAATAAATGTTAAAATCAAATCTTTGAATCATTGATGGGTTTAACATGAATATTGTTCCTCCAGAGGACCCTGGCTCAGTATAAGCCGCCATCCGCCATGACTCACTGGGGATGGAGAAGACAGAGCACACACACACGCACGCACGCACGCACGCACGCACACACACACACACACACACACACACACAAACACACACATGTGTGAATATATGGTTTATGAAGCCACTGTGACTTTTTGGTGGTTTATGAGGACACGCCTTTCCCTGCATCTGGTGAACACGAAAAGTATGTCAAAATTTTAGATTTTACCCGTAGAAGAAAAGTCTCACTTCAAAAGTAAGAAAAACATATCAGAATATACATTTCACATATGAATTTTCACAGGCTTATGAGGACTTGACAACATGGTGGTTTATGGAGACAATTAGGGTTTATGAGTGGTCTAGGCATGCTCCATTGGAACCTCCGCAGCTCCTACCAGGACTCTGGCTAGCCAATCACAGCTCTCTAGAGGGGTTTCAAACACATAAAGAGCTGTGATTGGTCCATAACGGTGGGCCAAGCTCTATCTGCTTAGTGAACAAATCACAGAGCTTTATCCGCTTTGTGGGCCAATCAGGGCACTCTATATGCCTGGTGGGTGGGATGATGCAACAGAGTGATTCATTGTCCAGTAGCATGTGGAGATCATTTGAAAGACAACGGTAGAACCCGCCCCACAACCGAGAGCCGTCAATGGAGCGTTGCCAGACTAAATAATACATTTATTTAGTCTGGCTTGCCAGGCTAGTTTATGAGGTCTGTTTATAAAGATATACAATACTGACAGTTTCATGGTTTAAGGGGACATTTAAACATTATGAGATCAGTATACACATTAATATACAACATTCAAAATATCAAGGAATCAAATGAGGATTAATTCAAAATTTTTAATGATGAACTAAAAATTTTTACTTCTTTTGTTTAAAATGTATGAACTGAACTTTTAATCAGTTCTTTAAAAAAAAAACGTTCCCAATACGGTTTTCTTAATCATCGTGGTCATCACAGGGAGTCCCCTCCTTCTCCGGTTGGCCCATGGGTCCCTTAAAGGGGCTAAAAGAGTTATTTTTTTACCTGCTTTGCCTCAGACCCTGGATCACACATGTTGTACTGCAGTTTACATGAAAAGTAATGATGGGTGTTTTGACCACGCCATTCTCACATTTTGAGATTTATTAGCTTGTAAAAGTTTGTAATTAGCATGACTACAAACTAGAAATCGGCATGTCACATGTGATGTCACCACATAAGCTCCTCCCCCTAGCGTAGCTGCTACTCACCACATGACCAGATTTGTGGTGGTTCTTTCCTCCTGTGGGAAGTTTGCTGAACTTACAGCCCTTTTCCCCTCAGTTTCCTCCGTGTCTGGTTCGATGACGTGATGCACATTTGTAGTCCTGGACTTATTTTCACCCAAAACCTAAAATAGCGTTTCCCCCTGTTCAAAAATAAGCGCGTTCTTGGTATCAAAATGCATCTTTAATATTCACGGACATCATGTGTGAAATCCATGGAACATAACAGAAATAGAAAATAGCCCCGTTGACTTGCATTCATGTTTTTGTTCTTCTGTAGAAGTAGATGGGCGTGACTTAGGCTCCTTGTGTATAATACATCTGTGTTTTAAAGAGACAAAGAAAAAGAACTTTTCATGAGTTTCTAATCTGCTACACATCCGTTCTTGATGAGTTCATGTGTTTGCTTATAAAATCATCCTGGAGCTGGTATCCGTGTTGACTCAGACATGCAGTTGAATGGTCAGGAGTTATTTTGGTGCCAGCGGCGCTAAGCTAACGCGGAGCTGGATTGTAGTGCTGACAGGTTAACAGAAAGCGTGGGGTGAGCGGAGCCGTGTTTTCAGCTAGCTGCTCGGATCGCCTGGTCAAGATCTAGAAACATCAAAGTGTTATGAGAGGAGGAAAGAAAACTGGAACCATTCCCAGTGTTCCGGTTTTTCAGTATTCCACCTCAGTACCCAGCTGATGTGCATGGCTAGTTCCTGCTCTTGGATCACTGCCTCCTCTGAACAACACCTTGTTTTACTTTGCTGCCAAACACACTGATTTCCTTTTTTACTTTCCTAAAACCGTGTCAGGAAATGAAAAGAGGACAAAAGTGATGAAGCAGTCACTTTTCCCTCTCAGTGAAGCAAAAAGGCCTTTAAAATCTCAATATGGGGGAAAGTGGTGCTCCAATTATTCCTCCTGATCACAGAGAGATGGAACGAGTGAGCGAGCAAAGGGAAATAAAAGAGATGTAGAGCGACACGGAGAGAAAAACCTTCATATGAAGGAACAGACTAAAGGAGATGAGCAGGAAAAATTAAAGAACGCGTGGTGGGGTGGAGAAACAGAGTAGGAGATTGGTCCGGCAGATAATGAAAAAAAGGCTACCTGGTGGAAAAGTAATCCAGGGAACTGGCAGTCAGCCAAATTCAATAACAACATGAAGAGCGTGGGATGGAGGGATGAAAGAGGAGGGGAGAGGTGATGCAACAGAATCTCAACACGATCCTGATGCTGTAAGCCCTCTGATGAGAAATCCATGTGAAGATGATGGAGAAGAAGGGAGGCGGGAGGTCTCACCAGCTGTGACCACAAACGTTTCATCTACACTTCAATCAGATAATCATTCTTCTCCACGTGCAGGGGACAGGAAGAATTCTGCACATGTGCTTCTAATTGGCTAATAATTTAAGCCCCGCCTCCTTTCCAAACTAATACCTAATTAAAGTTTCTGGATAAATCTAGAAACAGACTATACATTTTCACTGAATCACAATTTTTGAGTTTTGCCATTCTCTCAGCTATGGCGGCCATCTTTAAGGTTGACTAAAACATCTAGAGGCAAACACGTTGTCACCCAGCTTTCATGGGCGGGCGATGACGCACCTGTAACGTTCCTAAGGAAACTACCTTGATCTGCGGTTTGATGCTGAGGTTCTCGGGTTTCTCCCAACAGCGCGTGGACAGGTTAAGGATGGCGGTGGCAGCCATGTGAGCAGCTTCTGCGTCATGGGAGTAGTCGTAGGCTAGGACGGAGCTTTTCCCGTAACCGTGGAGACTGAGGCTGGGTGGCGGAGACTTGGGAAACGAGGGCTTCGCTGTGGAAGGAGCAAATGGCATCAGTTAGTAGCTGCAAATCCCGTCCAATAGGTGGCGCCAAAAACACAATAAGAAATACACAAACGGACTACATAAAACTCCTGGTTAAATCGAGAGGGAACCTGAGGCTCCCATACTTAAAGCCAACCAGGAAGTGACAATAATTGTACTTCCACCCTCATCCACTAGGGGCTGGCACTAGAAGTTAGCATATCCTCATTGACTCCCATGTAAAAAACACTATTTTCACAGCTGAAATAAACATGTTTACAGCCTGGTTCAAAAAACCATTCTAGCTTTAATAGATCTAGTTTACATTCATGACAGCTCTGAGATAAGATAGTTTTTTCATACTTAGGTGTAATTACATGCTTTGAGTTATGAATAATTAGATTTGATTGACAGATAGCGTGAGTGTCAGAGCTAGCACTAGCGGCTAGCTCCAGGAAAGGCCTCAGCCTCACGTTAATAGATGTTCGGCCATTTCGACTCTGAATTTTAGTTTTGTCCTCTGTGTGTTCGTGTTTGGATGTTAATCATGGGATTATCGGGCACAGAGGGCAAGCTGTGGTTATTGGCCGATCATCCAAGCAGCTTCTTCTTTTTATCAGTAAGTAAAATTATATTTCTATACTTTATTTTGCTGGCTGAACGGAAGGAATGCTGTATGTTTAACATACCACTGCTCGGTTAAAGATGGGTTGAAATATAACATGCTGGTTGGGCTGGGTGATCTAGGTAAGCTGACCGAGGCTAGCGGAGGTTTCCAGGCTGAGCTGGTCCATCGCAGTCAAAGATCTGCAAGGTTGCCGCCATTCACCAATCTGCCACTCCGGCCATTCGGAGGCAGTTGAGTGAGGCGGATGCCTGGCTTCTCGCGCCTCCCTGCCAGGAACAGCTACTAGACGCAGATGGCCAGCCGCTCCTGCCTCCTGGGGCAGCTGAGCTGTGCGGCTGCCAGGCTTCCATGCGAGGAGTTAGTCGTCCTGGATGCTTGTGGAGCTCTCTGAGGGAGACTACAGAAAAACCGCAGCTCTCTGAGTTTATGCTAGCTACACTTCGAGTCTCTTAACCGTGTTTTTCTGGTTAAAAGCACCTGAAAACCTGTTAGCTTTGGGTTTGGGTTAGTTCGTAGCTCCCTCCGTTGGCTCCAAGCACCATGTGGCTTTGGGTTAGCTCGTAGCTACATTGGTTCAGAGTTCATATGTGTCAATCATTTTCTCCCAGCCTCAGCTCCACCTCTTTTCCCATTTATGGATTGGCAGACTACAATGAGATGTGTCACATGGCCAAAATGGTGGCGATTGGAACCGTCCATTTGGCTACAAAAAGCCCCACAGAAGGCTGTGGGTGGGGTTTGTCCATCTTATAGTCATTGATAGCAAACTGCTGACAACCCTGGTTATCGGTGCATCATTGCCACCTATCCATCATGGTACAGCAGCAGCTCAGGAGGTAGTGCAGGTTGTCCGGTAATCTGAAGGTTGCAGGTTCGATCCCAGCTCCAACCAGAGATTGCTGCTGCTGTGTCCTTGGGCAAGACTGCCAACCCGCCTTGCCTGCTGGTGGTGGTCGGAGGGACCGGTGGCGCCTGTGCTCGGCAGCCTCACCTCTGTTAGAGCGCCCCGGGGCAGCTGTGGCTACATCGTAGCTCATCATCACCTGGTTATGAATGACTGAGTGTGTTGTGGAGCGCCTTGGGGGCTTGTAGAACCCTAAGAAGGTGCTATACAAATACAGTTTATTTATTTATGGACGGGAGTTTATAACAACACCATGCAGTAGATTAATCTAAATCTTAGTTCTAACAGTTCTAATGATTCTAATGATTGTAATGGTTCTAACGGTTCTAATGGTTCTAACCCTGCAAACAGTCAACGTTACATGGACGTGCAGATCATGTATATATTGAGTCTGTTGGTCCAGACCGTGTCTGTAGGACGTTCAAACTAGGTCTTTGCACAGTGGGAAAGGTTCTAACGGTTCTAATGATTCTAACGGTTCTAATGATTCTAACGATTATAAGTTTATAACAACACCATTCAGTAGATTAATCTAAATTTTAGTTCTAATGGTTCTAATTGTTCTAACGGTTTTAATGGTCCTAATGATTGTAAAGGTTCTAATGGTTCTAACGATTAAGTTCTATTGGTTCTAATAGTTCTCACGGTTCTAACGGTTCTAATGATTCTAACGGTTCTAATGATTCTAACGATTATAAGTTTATAACAACACCATTCAGTAGAATAATCTAAATTTTAGTTCTAATGGTTCTAATTGTTCTAACGGTTTTAATGGTTCTAATGATTGTAAAGGTTCTAATTGTTCTAACGATTCGGTTCTAATGGTTCTAATAGTTCTCACGGTTCTAACGGTTCTAACGATTCTAACAATTCCAATGGTTCTAATTGTTCTAACGGTTCTAATGGTTCTAACGTTTCTAATGGTTTAAATGGTCCTAACAGTCCTAACGGTTCTAACTATTCTAACGGTTCTAATGATTCTAACGATTATAAGTTTACAACAACACCATTCAGTAGATTAATCTAAATTTTAGTTCTAATGTTTCTAATTGTTCTAACGGTTTTAATGGTTCTAATGATTTTAACGGTTTTAATGGTTCTAATGATTGTAAAGGTTCTAATGGTTCTAACGATTCGGTTCTAATGGTTCTAATAGTTCTCACGGTTCTAACGGTTCTAACGATTCTAACAATTCCAATGGTTCTAATTGTTCTAACGGTTCTAATGGTTCTAACGTTTCTAATGGTTTAAATGGTCCTAACAGTCCTAACGGTTCTAACTATTCTAACGGTTCTAATGATTCTAACGATTATAAGTTTACAACAACACCATTCAGTAGATTAATCTAAATTTTAGTTCTAATGTTTCTAATTGTTCTAACGGTTTTAATGGTTCTAATGATTGTAACGGTTTTAATGGTTCTAATGATTGTAATGGTTCTAATGGTTCTAACGATTCGGTTCTAATGGTTCTAATGGTTCTCACGATTCTGACGGTTCTAATGGTTGTAATGGTTTAAATGGTCCTAACAGTCCTAATGGTTCTAATGATTCTAACGATTCGGTTCTAATGATTCTAACGATTATAAGTTTATAACAACACCATTCAGTAGATTAATCTAAATTTTAGTTCTAATGTTTCTAATTGTTCTAACGGTTTTAATGGTTCTAATGATTGTACTGGTTCTAATGGTTCTAACGATTCGGTTCTAATGGTTCTAATGGTTCTCACGATTCTGACGGTTCTAATGGTTCTAATGGTTTAAATGGTCCTAACAGTCCTAATGGTTCTAATGATTCTAACGATTTGGTTCTAATGGTTCTCACGATTCTGACGGTTCTAATGGTTCTAATGGTTTAAATGGTCCTAACAGTCCTAATGGTTCTCATGATTCTAACGATTCTAACGGTTCTAATGATTCTAACGATTATAAGTTTACAACAACACCATTCAGTAGATTAATCTAAATTTTAGTTCTAATGTTTCTAATTGTTCTAATGGTTTTAATGGTTCTAATGATTGTAACGGTTTTAATGGTTCTAATGATTGTAATGGTTCTAATGGTTCTAACGATTCAGTTCTAATGGTTCTCACGATTCTGACGGTTCTAATGGTTCCAATGGTTTAAATGGTCCTAACAGTCCTAATGGTTCTAATGATTCTAACGATTCGGTTCTAATGATTCTAACGATTATAAGTTTATAACAACACCATTCAGTAGATTAATCTAAATTTTAGTTCTAATGTTTCTAATTGTTCTAACGGTTTTAATGGTTCTAATGATTGTACTGGTTCTAATGGTTCTAACGATTCGGTTCTAATGGTTCTAATGGTTCTCACGATTCTGACGGTTCTAATGGTTCTAATGGTTTAAATGGTCCTAACAGTCCTAATGGTTCTAATGATTCTAACGATTCGGTTCTAATGGTTCTAATGGTTCTCACGATTCTGACGGTTCTAATGGTTCTAATGGTTTAAATGGTCCTAACAGTCCTAATGGTTCTCATGATTCTAACGATTCTAACGGTTCTAATGATTCTAACGATTATAAGTTTACAACAACACCATTCAGTAGATTAATCTAAATTTTAGTTCTAATGTTTCTAATTGTTCTAATGGTTTTAATGGTTCTAATGATTGTAACGGTTTTAATGGTTCTAATGACTGTAATGGTTCTAATGGTTCTAACGATTCAGTTCTAATGGTTCTCACGATTCTGACGGTTCTAATGGTTCCAATGGTTTAAATGGTCCTAACAGTCCTAATGGTTCTAATGATTCTAACGATTCGGTTCTAATGATTCTAACGATTATAAGTTTATAACAACACCATTCAGTAGATTAATCTAAATTTTAGTTCTAATGTTTCTAATTGTTCTAACGGTTTTAATGGTTCTAATGATTGTACTGGTTCTAATGGTTCTAACGATTCGGTTCTAATGATTCTAACGATTATAAGTTTATAACAACACCATTCAGTAGATTAATCTAAATTTTAGTTCTAATGTTTCTAATTGTTCTAACGGTTTTAATGGTTCTAATGATTGTACTGGTTCTAATGGTTCTAACGATTCGGTTCTAATGGTTCTAATGGTTCTCACGATTCTGACGGTTCTAATGGTTTAAATGGTCCTAACAGTCCTACTGGTTCTAATGATTCTAACGATTCGGTTCTAATGGTTCTAATGGTTCTCATGATTCTAACGGTTCTAATGGTTCTAACGATTCCAGTGGTTCTAAAGGTTCTAATGGTTCTAAAGGTTTTTGTTATCCAGATGTCTGCTCTTACTTTTGAAGGCTTTGGGTGAAGTTTCGCTGGTGGTCATCTTTGGAGCAAGCGTTCGCTTCCCGAAAACTTGGGCATCAAAGCTTGCATAATCGAAGGAGACCTTGGAGTACTTCTCCAGCTCCTTCGCCAGGTTGGCGCGAGGCGTTGAGGGCGCCATGTTGGGCCTGTAGCTGCCATACTGAGGTACCTCCAGCTGCTTGATGAAGCACATGGGCCTGTTGGGGGGGGGGGGTAGTAGTAAAAGCTGGGATTAATGACTAAACAAAGCAGAAAAGGTCGAGAAAGATGAAAAATCAAAAGAGAGACACAAAACAAACTGGAGGAGAAAAAGAGGAGAAAGGAGTGAAACAGAGAGCCTGGAGATAGGAGCGCTGGTGTACTTAGCCGGAGAGCAGCAGGATTAAAAGCTCTCTTATCAGCGGAGGGCACATTTGCATGTTTTACAGAAGGAATTTATGAGCTTTAAGCCCTCTCGTTTTCCTGGAGAGCCAGGCTTTTGTCAAACCTGTTGGCGCATATCCACTGATAGATTCTTCTCCAGCACAGGCACCGGCTGAAGTCGCAGTTTCTGGTGTCAGTAACGAGCTTCGTGACCTGACCTGTACCAGCAGCGATCACGGGGGAATTTTCTGTCTTTTTATTAAATCAGCAGTGATGCATCCAGCTCTACGTCTAACGGACACGAAAGCTCATTAGAAAAACAATTCAGCCTTATTGTGTTTTAATCCGATGCTTTGTCCAGTCAAAGATGAGTTTTCCTCTAGGAAAGCAATTATTTTCCCTCCTCCTGCAGACACACGTAGAACTGAGATAATTAGCATATCAACGGCATTATTAATTGAAATAGCGATGAGGGGGAGCGCGGACAGAGCATAGCATCGGTGTTGGCTTCACAGTAATTATCATTCTTAGGTCCAGGATCTGGTGATGGGCAGCCCAACATCACATATCTCATCTATGGAGGCCTGGAAGGGTCAAAATACACGGCCCTAGAGGGACACAGAAGGAAAATGAAATAAAATAACTTTTTGATGGAAAGGAGAAAAGCTTGTTGGTTTCTGGGATCCATAAGAAACATAGCGGAGACGGCCAAAAACAGTAAAAAACAAATATTAAGGCTGAATTTTCTGTTTTTGATATTTAAAAAATTACTTTATTTACACAAAGTGCCACTAAGGAGTTTCCATACTAACCACTTCTGACGCTGTTCACAATTTCTTCTGACTAAAAATCTATTTTAGAACAAAATCAAAGTTTATTGGTCACATGGTCAGCATAGCCTACAATAGCCTAGTGAAGGCAACCCGTTCGTAGCCTCGGCCATACCTACACAGCAGACCTCACGGACAAGGAGATGAGGGAAACCGTGAGGAAGCAGCTAGCAGGGGGCTTGGCCAAGATTGACCAGAGCCAACTTTCCGGCAAGTATAACGTGCTGAGTTATCAGGTCACACTATACCCATGGGTAAAGTTGTGTGAGGTCCCTTCCTCAGTGGTAGACAAGAAGGACGGGCTGGCAAATTCATTCATCAGGAAGTGGTTGGGAATACCAATTTGCCAGTCGGATGTAGGCCTCTTCGGCAAGAATACACTGCAGCTGCCGCTAAGATCTATAAGTTTGGGATATAAGCAGGAAAAGGCCGAGGAGGCATGTTCACTTTGCGGCAACAGTAATGCAAGCCTCCCTCATATCCTGTGGGGCTGCAAGACAGCATTGTCCCAAGCTGTAAATGGCGGCATGATCAGGTGTTGAGGAAGCTGGCTGAGGTTGTGGAGACATGCAGACGGGAAGCTAACAGCAGACCTTCTGCTCCAGCACAACGGCCAACCCTGTTTGCAAGGGCAGGAGAGAAGACCAAACCGCGTTGCCAGAGAACACCATCGAATGTTCTCTCACCTCCAGCAGCTCCAATTCCCCAGAGAGGTCGTAGAGACGTCACTCCGGCCAGATCTGATCCTTTGGTCAAGGCCAAGTAAGACCATCCTGTTGGTGGAGCTCACAGTTCCGTGGAAAGAGGCCATGGAGGCTGCCAATGAGCGTACGCGTTCTAAGTGTGCAGGTTTAGTGGAGGAATGCAGAAGGGCTGGCTAGAAAGCCATCATACGCCCAGGTAAAGTAGGACGTAGGGTCTTCAACTGTGGGATGCACAGGAGCAGGGTGGCAGAAAGTCACAAAGGCAGAGGAGGCAGAAAGGGGTAGCTTTTGGCTGTGGATAAGGAGGAAGCAAAGGGGTTGGGGGAACAAATGATAAATGAGCCGCACTTGTATAGCGCCTCTCAGAGTAAGGACTCCAAAGCGCTTTACACTACAGTGTATCATTCATCCATTCACACACACATTCACACACTGATGGTGATGAGCTACGATGTAGCCACAGCTGCCCTGGGGCGCACTAACGGAGGCGAGGCTGCCGAGCTCTGGCGCCACCGGTCCCTCCGACCACCACCAGCAGGCAACGTGGGTTATGTGTCTTGCCCAAGGACACAACAGCAGAACCCTAACCCCATCAAACATGGAGGGCATCAACAGGGGGTGATAGGGAGAGATCCCTGCCACCGCTCCACCAGCAGGAGATGTACTGGGTTAAAGGAGCGAAACATCTGATTGGTGGTCCCCAGCTGATGACCATTTTATGCCGGAGAGGACTGTAGAGGGGCGTAAGTGCACAAAGACACTGGCGGAGGTGCGTCAGGCAGTGACGTCCAGCAGGTAGAGCACCGACCTGTACCCTCATAGAATTAGACACATGGTTAGCATAGCCTAACATAGCCTAGTGTAGCGTAGCATAGCTTCATGATTTTGTGCTGGTCATAAAATTTGAGAATTGTGACAAAGCTGATTTATTTCAGTAACTCCATCCAAAAGGTGGAGCCCATCCATCATTTACTTCTTTAATGTTGATGATTATAACTGACAGCTAATGAAAATCCCTAATTCAGTATCAGAATATTAGGTTCCCCTGGTGCCACAGTCCAATCAGCTAATTAAGTCAAAAGCCTTTAAATGGTTTCTCAGTCTAGTTCTGTAGGCCAGGGGTTCCCAGCCTTTTGTGACTAGATTAGAATACGGATACTCTGCTTTAATGACCAGCACCTGTAGAGGCACACGGTACAACAGGTCTGACTCGAAAGAGAAATCTACACCTCCTCACCACAACGCTGGTTCTGGTAGTAGGGCAAGCAAAAATGCACAAAATCCTAATGAAAGTGCTTTAGGCTACCGTAGGGAATGGCTGTGACCCACATTTTTATTAGACTGTTTTTTGACTGTTTCATGTTTTTTAGCTCTTCATGTGTTTCTGATGGGTCACGTCTCAATAACTAAACCAAAAGTTGCATAAATAAGAAATTTAAAGTCTTTGGAAGTAAAAACAGGTCTGAGCTGAGGGGAATAAATGTATAAGGCAGGAGGCCGAATAAGGAAAGATCGGGCTGATGACATCACTTCCCCTTTAGAAAATAGAGAGGTGGGTTGGCCCTCCAGGTAGGGGGAGGAACTCTGAGCAGAACCGCTGCTCCTCCTCATCAGAAGGAGTTAGCCGAGGTGGTTCTGGGATCTGGAACCGACCCAGAACTCACTGGAGGGGTCAGACGTTCCCTCGGACCTTCCGGGTCAAGCTTAAAGCGATCTTAGGGGTTTTCTTTGCAACCAGAGTGAAAGAGAAAACCCCTCTCAGCTTCTGAGGCTTTGTGGTACCCAGAACCAGAACCCATATAACGGACCCACCTCAGCACTCTGTCGTTGGGACTCCCCTTGAGGAGCTCTCCTCCAGGCGGAGACAGGTGCTGCTTTTCGTGGCCCTTGGACAGCTTCTCTGCAGCAGCGATGGGACAACCGGAGAGGCTGGTGGGACACAGGGACGTACATCAGCGTCTGCATGTTTGTCCAGCAGAACAACAGCTGGGAGGACGTACCTGCGGTGTGTGTTACGGTTGCTGTTGACGTGGCCCTGTCCGGTGCAGCCGGGAGTCGGACACTTCAACACGTTCTCATGCATGGCCAGAACTGAGCAGAGATGACAGGATCAGAGAAAAGCTGCTTCTGACCAGATCTCAGCAGCGCTACAACAGGAAAAAGCTACGAATCATCAGACTCCCTCACTCTCTGGGGGGATCCTGTCCTTGTGCGGACAGCCCGACAGGCTGCGGTGGTGGGGGTAAAGGCCGGTCACGTGGCCGGTGCCGTCGCAGCCTGGCGTGGGACACTTGTTCTCTCTCTTCTCTGGCCTCTCTGGATCAGAAAGGAGGAATCAGAAGAGAGGGAGGAGAAAAAGAGGACAAAAGCAAGTGGTTGATGCTTGGCTGAGCAGGAAATCCAGACATGTACCACAGCGTCACCGTCGGCGTTTCCTGGTTTTACCACATTTACACACATCCTGTCTGGATCTAAAGAGACAACCAGCTCAGTCACCACCAGACTAAAGCTGTCTGTGTGCAGTTTCTACCTCACAGAGCCTTTAAAGGGTTATTAGAACGTCGGCTTACGTCTAATCCTGTCTTTCCTTTTAGGTTCAGGCTACAAACATTTTATTTCTCTTATTGCAACAAAACTATTTGTGTTTAGTTGAATTCTGCTGCGTTGGGTTAGCGTTACTGTTCAGTATTCCTGGTTTGGATTTACTGTTCTACGTCTCTGTGTTTAAGCCCTTTGGTCATCTGACACGCGGCTTTTATAGACATTAGCTATAGTAGATATGGTTCAGTAGTGGACCACTAGGAGGCGCTGTGACACGTTAGACACCAAACAAATCAGGAGAATGAAACAATAAAAGTGTGACAAAGCGGCCGATATCATACGTTCTTTCTGCTCTCGTCCATTATTTATGTTGAAGTGTTTTTTATGTTTTACACTTTTATTTCATTTTTGCTGAAAATGAAATAAAGGACTAAACAAAATAAGCAGTAAAGGATTTTTTAAGCGTGGTTATCCGGAGTCAGTGACGAGTCATCTGCGTGTAGAGACTCCAGAGAAGTCCTCACCCTGAGCTAAGCTATCAGCTGATTAGTGCAGGAACCACCCACTGCAAGAACTTTTCAATGTTTCCAGCAGCTTAAATAAATGATTTTTGCAAAGGCTGCACGGTGGAGAAGTGGTTAGTGCTGTTGCCAACCTGGGGTCTTTCTGCGTGTGCATGCGCCGGCCTCCTCCCATAGTCCAAAAACATGGCTGTCAGTTTGACTGGTCTCTCTAAATTGTCGTTGGCTGTGAGCGCGTGCATGGGTGTGTGTCTGCGATGACCTGGCTACCTGTCCAGGTGTACCCTGCCTGCTGCAGGTAGGCACCAGGCCCCCTGTGTGGATTAGCAGGTGTAGAAGATGGATGGATGGGTATTTAAGCATCTTTGCTTCAGATGTTTCGTTTGACACAACCACTTTATCAAACATTGGTTGTGTTGCTATGCTACACAGATAATTGAGCCCGGTTATACGGAGGAAACACTGGCTAGCAGCTAGCATAGCCACAGTGTTTGGCTAGCAGAGCAGCAAAATAAACCACCTTACATGACAGTACTAATGACTAAAAGTTAGCGCTTAGCTTTGCTCTGCTGCAGGTAAGATATCAGCTCTAAATGCCACGGTGCACCGGGTCTATAACTAACTAACTAACTAACTAACTAACTAACTAACTAACTAACTAACTAACTAACTAACTAACTAACCCTTCACCAAACAAACAACAAACGAGAAAATAAACAATTAATAAATACACATAAAACAAAGTCTAAAGCTGTAAAAACTGTGCTCACAGATTTATTTTATTTAAAGTTTTTCTCTGAGAAATAAAATCTCAGCATCACCATATATGGACTTCCTCTCTAGTCACTTTTCTGACTAAATGACCTGAAAATGATCAGGTGCTCCTTTTACAGTCAGGACTCAGAAAAAGCTCCCTGAGCAGAATAAACGTTCACTTCTCTCATTTTCTACGTATTTTTAGTCATTTTCTCTTTTGTTTGGTTTTATTTTCTTACAGATGAAAACTTCTGGAGCGCTAACACAAGAGGGATGGCGCGGTGCTCTGCTGGCCTTCAAACTGAACGTTAACGAGACACGCGTCGTCTAATCAGAGCTGGGAACAGGAACGCCACCACAGGAGGGAGTCGAGGCCACGGAGAGGGCAGCACGACGGCCGTGAAATCACGCTGCTGCTTCACCGTGAGCGTGACGAGTGGGCAGAGCGCCAGCAGAGAAAAACAACGTAACCCCCCCATCAAGCACTTCCTCTCCACTCGCCCCTTCATCCTCACCTCCATGAGGGGGGAGGAGCTTAGCAGGACTCTAAGTCTCTGCTGGACGAGACTCAGGTGGTCCGAACACCCCCGAGATTTTCTACCTGAAGCATCTCTCCTGTTAACTGCAGCTGAGCACGGCCCCGCGAGGAAAAACGATGCGGTAAAAGTGGTTTTGTTCGACGTTTCTACATGACTGGACTTTAAAGTCCCATTAGTCAACACACGTTCTCACCTGTCCAACATCTAAGAGGATCAGGTTGATCTTATTGTCATATGTCGTTATCCTAGTTTACATGCACACTAAGAAACCGGCCTCTTTAATGAAGTTTGTTCCCCAGTAGAGGGTTGGTGCCACCAGTAGGTGGCGACATGTCAGCACTCTTCCGGTTAGCCCCTAGCAACACGAGCAGTAGACTGAGGCTGGCGGGAGTGAAGCAGGTCCTTCACAATGGCTGCAGCACAGCTTATCTGGTACATGCTGGCCTGTTTTATGCTTTGTGACGATGCTCTTCTTAGAGGATCGTCACTTCTGGAACGCCGGCGTCCTACCGGTTTAGCTCGGCTGACCCGTTACACGCAGGATGTAATCGGATAACTACCGCATTATCTGGGTGCTTCAGCTCGATTAGAACCAGACCAACAGGTTTACCTGCAATAAAAAACAGACGCGAGTCTTTTTCGGGCAACACTTGGGTTTCCTGATGTGCGTGTAAACGCACTGACTGGTGAAATTACATCTCCACGTGTGACCCATCCTCGTAGGGAGCCGTGAGGCGGTATAACCTCTCAGTCACACAACTTAAAGCTGAGTATCAAGCAGCACTGGGTCCCACTTTTAAAGCCGTTGGTATGACTCGACCAGGATTTGAACCCCCGACATCCCACTCTCAGGGCAGGCACTCATACCACTGGGCCACTGAGCTGATTTTTTTACCGTTTGTGTATTTGCTGCGGAGGCAAGAAGCCGGGATCAGCGGATCCACCAGCATCAGGTAGCTGAGTCTCGTCCAGCTCTAGAACAAACCAACCAAATCCCTCCGTGGTGACGGGGCCAGCCTACCTTTGCTGAAGTAGGTCTTACGGATGATGTCCAGGTGCTTGGGCCCGTCCTCGATAGTGAAGTATCTCTGATGGTGGATGTCTGGAGCGCGGAGGAGCTCTCTGGGGCCGGCCGACTTCACCTGCTCTGCCTTCAGGGCGATGGCCTGCTCCAGAAGGCCCAGGTTCCCCCGGGTCATGTCGAACATCTCCGACTCGTCAGTCACGGCCGAACGCTGCGACATGCTGTCGTCATCATCCTGCTCGTCGTCTTCGTCCAACTCATCAAAGTCTCTGTCTGTTTTATCCGAGCGGACTTCGATGATGTCGGGGGAGGCTGAAGATGAGGCCTTGTGGAGTTGGGGGAGGGGGAAGTAGTCCTCCAGGGGGCTGGCCCGGTGGGAGCCGTAGCTCCGAGGAGGACTGGGTTTGTTGTTCTGAAGCAGTCCCGGTTTGTAGGACTGATATTTGTCAAGTGGACTGGTTCCGTTGTAGTCCCCTGGAGGACCTGGCTCTTCGGTCTTGACGTGTGTTCCCTGAGCTGCTGCTGTGCTGGTGATGGTTCGGACAGCGCTCGGCACACCCCGGATGGAGAGGAAACGCCTCCTGTGCTCCTCCTCACCATCTTCTTCTCCAGTCTCCTGCGTCTGCTGCACCGACACCACCATCTCTTCCTCCTCCTCACCTTTGGTCGGCTCCAGGTGGAACCCTTCGCCAACATGGTTGCTCGTGGCAAAGTGCCGCTCTTGCTCTTGCTCCGCCTCCTTCTGGAGAACAGATGCTTCCTCCAGCACTTGAACTGTCGGTGCCTCCTCCTCTTCGCCCTCACTCGTGCCCCCCTCCTGCTTGTCCTTTACTTCTTCATCCCGTTCAGCTGCCACGCTGACATCTTTGGTCTCCATGGCAACAGGCTGTTGAACGGCCGCGCTTGCAGTGCTGCCGGTGGAGACTTGACCCAGGTGGAGGAGAGAGTCAGCCACCTCTTTGGCACTCTGAGAGGAAGGCCGGTGCTCCTCGGCAGCGGGAGCCGGCGCTCCGGCCTCAGAATCGACGATCAAACACTCGTCTGAGGAAAGAAGAGACAGGGAGGAAGAAGTGAGTCATGCAGTGAGCTCAGGCTGATGTCAGCAGCATCCTGAGGTCAGTCGGCATGGAGCTTCTGGTGGTTTCACACCAACAGAAATGTACTAAATAAAATGTCCTGAATGTTGATTCTAAAGGCCGGACTGGAACAACCGAAACTCTAAACAACTCACAGCTGCTCTTGATGAACATAACATCTATGATAGCTTCCAGTCAGGTTTTCGTGGAGCTCATTCTACTGAAACAGCTCTTCTTAGGGTCTCTAATGACCTTCTGACTCACAGTGATGCAGGGGACTGTTCTGTTCTGGTCCTGCTGGACCTGACTGCAGCCTTTGACACTGTTGACCATCACCTGCTACTGGAGAGGCTGAGAGACTGGGTAGGCCTATCAGGAACTGCTCTGGAGTGGTTCTCCTCTTATCTCTCTGAGCGCTCCTTTTCTGTGGCCGTCTCCAAGTTTAGGTCTTCCACCACCTCTCTTACCCATGGTGTCCCACAAGGTTCTGTGCTGGGGTCTCTACTCTTCCTCCTCTATCTGCTTCCTCTTTAGCACATCCTGAGCTCCTTCAAAGGAATCTCCTACCATCTTTATGCAGATGACATCCAACTGTACATCTCCTTTAAGCCCCATGAGATGTCTAAGCTGCAGCTGTTACACACCTGCTTAGACTCTATCAAAACCTGGATGGTGGGAGCTTTCTTCAGCTGAATGAAGATCAGACCGAGATCCTCATCTGTGCCCCAGACAAGCTGGTTCCCAAAGTCAGAGACTCTCTTGGTCAGCTTGCTTCTCACACCAAACCCTCTGTCAGGAATCTTGGCGTGACCTTTGACCCAGCTCTCACCTGGATTCTCATGTCAGTTCTCTTGTTGGCTCTTCCTTCTTCCATCTCAGGAACGTTGCTAAGCTGAGTCCCATTCTGTCCCGCTCTGAACTTGAGACAGTTCTCCACACCTTCATCTCCTCACGGTTACCCCAAAATTCCACTACCTCCGCTCCGCCCTCCGCTGCCGCTCTCTTCCGAACTCAATTTTTACTGGTACCCGCTCTACAACGGCTCCGCTCCGGTGCGGAGACCTGAGGTGGGCAAACAAGCATGCGCGGGATTTTCGAGATCTTGCGATACAGTCCGAGCAATAAGCGCGGAAGTTAGATCCAAACACCCGTTGTGTGGGAGAAGCATCAACATGAACTGTTTAATCTGCCCATCATTTGTGTAGAGAGATCAGCAGTGTTTGGATCAACACAGTGTGACTACTTTGATAGTGGAAACTGTATTTATGGCTTATTTTTGTGCATTTAAAGTTCAGCCGCCATTGATAGTTGTTAAAAGTTGTTAAACCTGTGCATATGAAACAAAAAACGCCTTTTGTTTATCGATTTATTGTGAAATAACGGAAGTTGTGCTTGCTCCTTTTCCTGTTGGGCCGTTGTGATTTCTGTCCATTGACTGCGGCGGTGCTGCGGCGTCCGGCAAAAATAGAATCGATCCTATTTTTGCCGGATGGCAGAACGGCGGGCGGCGCACTGCGCCGCACGGCCGCTGTAGTGGAACAGCTCTGATTGACTACAACTGGACCGTTTTTGCTGCGGAGTTCGTGCCGGAGCGGAGGTAGTGGAATTTTGGGGTTAGTCCCTACACCCCCAGCAGGTCCCTGAGGTCCAGTGATCAAAGCCTACTGGTTGTGCAGCACCAGGCTAAAGGTCAAAGGTGACAGATCATCTGCTGCTGTGGCCCCCAGACTCTGGACCTCTCTCCCCCTGAGCCTGAGATCAGTGGACTCAGTGGTCTCCTTTAAAAAGCAGCTGAAGACTCACTTGTTCAAGCTGGCTTTTGTATGACCTTCTTCACCTCTCTCTTTATTCTGCTCTCCCCACCTATTCCACCTTCCTCAGGATCCACTGGTTTCCCTCTTTCCTGTTCACTCTCTCTCTTTCTTAACATTTTTAATCATAACTGTCTATTTTTTCTCATTTTAAATATATTTTTAACCATTTTCTAAATTATTTTTTATATTTTTACATTTTTTGTTTTTGTGAAGCGCCTCGTGATTTTTATCTTGAGAGGCGCTATAGAAATGATATTTGCTTCTTCTTCTCATGTCTGAACATCAGAGAAAAATCTTCCTACCTTCCTCTCCTGGTATGTTTGTCTCCTCCTCCTCCACCCCTGGTCCATTCATCTGCCCGTTCTGCAGGAGGTGCTCGGCCACCATCTCCTCCCCCCTTGCACCCTTCTCCTCCTCCCCTCCTGCCTTCTTGGTCTCCTCCTCCCTGCCTCCGTCCTTCTCTGCGTCGCCCTCCGCCTCGCTGCTGGCGTCGCTGTCAGCGCTAAAGCCCTCATCCAGGGCCAGTTTCAGGGGGTGGGACTTTCTCTTGGAGGCGGGCCTCTCCGTTTCCGTTTCCTGCCCCTGCTCGGCCTCTGCTTCCTCCAGCCGGCGCTTCCTCGCTACGGGGCAACCCAGGATGCTGAAGAAACAGAGAAGCAAGATGATGCGTGAAAACTGCTACGCCTCATCGGGTTTCAGTGGAAAAAAAGTGTTTTGAGATGAAGAAGCATGAAGCAGCTTTTTCAGAGTGAAATGTGGCCTGAGGGGGCACCACGCTCGCTCGCCCACACATCCACGTCAGTCCCAGCCAACTGAGTGGAACGTTTAATAAGCAGTGAGTATGGAGAGGCTGGGCGAGGCGGCGGAGGGTGAAATCCAATAAACCGCCTCTGATTCTCACCTGAGAGACGCCAGCCGAGGAAGCGTCGCTAAACAAAGTACTTCTGGAAGCAGCTGCTGAGCGAGCACACGCGTAAACAGCTAATGAAGACCCCCACCAGGAAGCGTGAGGGCGGCGGCGAGGATCTGTGTGTGTCGCTAGACCCGCTTCCACGCCAGTTCAGACATTAGTCTCCGTCATCAACACTTTTCTGTTTTCCTCTAAATGAAAACCCTTAAAGCCAATCTGGGTTTCATAATCTGACCTAATCTCAGAGTAACAGCTGCTTTGGGCTTAAATAAAACTTGGATTCTGGTTTTATTTATTCTAATGATTCAACATCAATCAGAAACCGTTTCACGCCGAAGGTTGGCTCTGCTCCCATCATTTGGAGACTGACGTGTTTCCTCCAGCGGTGAGCGGACGCAGCTCTAGGAGCTGCAGCGTTAGGTGTGTTCAGGACCTTCACTCAACCTACAGATGTATTTGGGCTCGTCGGGATTACTGAGGAAGCCTTTAGCTCTCCGTTAGCCTGGAGGAATTATCGGATTCCTGAAGCTTTAGCGCTAAAACGAGGCCGGACTGGAGGGTAATGCAAGGTGCAACGCTGACAGACGCAGAAAGTTACCAAACTGTAATTTTCAACCTTAAATTGAAAACAGAAGCTTGTTTTTACTGCGAGGCTCCAGCCAGTAGTGGATGGATACGAGCTTCCAGCCTGGGATCTACGTCTGAGGTGAGAAACGAGTTTATTAGAGGCGGACAAGCCCGAACCAGCAGCCGCCGGCTTCATTATCGTCTGGAGGAGCTGTTATCTCGTCTCTGCGAGCAGAAAGGTGGAGGAGGACAGAGAGAGGGTGGGGTTGTAATCTGCCCTACCTTCTGTGTCGTGAGTATCTCCCACTGATATGACCGGAGCCATTGCATCCAGGGGTGGGACAGCTGGATGGGATGGATGGAGGTTAGAGATATGTTTAAGACAGGAGAGCCTTTAGTCCCTGAGCAGCAGCAGCAATGACAAACAGGCAGTAAAAAGAAAATTAAGATAAGAAAACAAAGACATGCAGACACGCCACACAAAGGAAGGCGTGCACGCCGCCCAGCAGACACACGTGATGCACGATGCAGGCGGCCTCGCCGCGGGGAGCAGAAGGGCATGTCGTACATCAGCCCCGGCCCATTTCCTGTTTCTCTGAGCGATACGGATCAGCTGACACCTGCTGTAATTTCCCCTGGTCTGCTCTCTTCACCATCATCATCCTCCTCGGGGCTTTCTTCTCTGATTCAGGTTGCCATGACCCCTCAGGATGGCTCGTCTCTATTTTCATTAACTTCCTCTGCAGTTGCCCTTTATTACTCCAATTATCCGTTTCATTAGTTTCACTTATTAAAATGCTGCATTTGCATTTGAAACCAGGTGTTTTGCTGCCGCTATTTTCTCTGTTAGGGTTAGGGTTAGGGTGGAGTAGATGGGTTAGGGTTAGGGTTAGGGTTAGGGTTAGGGTGGGTTAGGGTTAGGGTTAGGGGGAGTAGATGGGTTAGGGTTAGGGTGGGTTAGGGTTAGGGGGAGTAGATGGGTTAGGGTTAGGGGGAGTAGATGGGTTAGGGTTAGGGTTAGGTGGAGTAGATGGGTTAGGGTTAGGGGGAGTAGATGGGTTAGGGTTAGGGTTAGGGGGAGTAGATGGGTTAGGGTTAGGGTGGGTTAGGGTTAGGGGGAGTAGATGGGTTAGGGTTAGGGGGAGTAGATGGGTTAGGGTTAGGGTGGGTTAGGGTTAGGTGGAGTAGATGGGTTAGGGTTAGGGGGAGTAGATGGGTTAGGGTTAGGGTTAGGTGGAGTAGATGGGTTAGGGTTAGGGGGAGTAGATGGGTTAGGGTTAGGGTGGGTTAGGGTTAGGTGGAGTAGATGGGTTAGGGTTAGGGTTAGGGTGGAGAGCCGGGTACGGATCGATGCTCTGAGGTGAGGACCAGACCAGAGACCGGTTTCTCGCTGAGCTAGCAGTTGGAGGTCTGCGTGTCCTCTCGGTTTGTCCCCTAAAGCTGCTGAGAAGACTCTGAACAACAGATTTTATTGGAAGGTAAAAAATCACCAATAAAATCCTCTAAACTGTGACTAAATGTTCTCGTTAAAGGCTCGGATGGGTCCATTCTAACCGGATCAGCTGTTTAACAGAACAAGTGTACATGTTGGCCGTGCAGTAATGGCTTTCTGTTCAAGTATTCAGGTAGTTACAGTTACACAGGAGAGGCGTGTCTTCACCTCGGATGTGAGGAAGTGTTTACGAGCAAACAGGAGGTGTTATTACCCAGCCTCACTGGGTCGAGGGTGAGGCTTAGAGGTTCCAGCTTGATATGGTCAGACCCACCTCAACGCACGGCTCTGGCTCCAGAACCCGTCTCCTTCAGAGGGCTTGGACTTTCTACCACTCTGCAGCATCTGAGACGAGCCGACCAGGGGCAGTAAGTCGGGCTCGTTCCCAGTGAGAGTTGGACTCCACCAGGGCTGCCCTCTGTCACCGGTTCTGTTCAGAACCTTTATGGACAGGATTTCTAGGAGCAGCCGAGGTGTGGAGGGCATCCGTTTTGGTGGCCTGAGGATCAGAATGTGATCTTCAGCTTTCGCTGGAGCGGTTCGCAGCCGAGTGTGAAGCAGCCGGGAGGGGCTCGGAGTAGAACCGCTGCTCCTCCACATCGAGAGGAGCCAGTTGAGGTGGCTCGGGCATCTGGTCAGGATGCCTCCTGGACGCCTCCCTGGTGAGGTTTTCTGGGCACGTCCAACCGGGAGGAGACCTAAAGGTAGACCCAGGACACGGTGGAGGGACGATGTCTCTCAGCTGGCCAGGGAACACCTTAGGATCCCCCGGAGGAGCTGGATGGGGAGAGGGAAGTCTGGGCCTCCCTGTTTAGGCTGCTGCCCCCGTGACCCGACTCCGGCCAAGGAGGCACGGATGGAAGGAGCAGTTTTACACAAACCAACACTGTGGCTTTAGTGTAAACCAACTAGAAGCTGTTTAGTCGCGGATTCAATCTCCAACCACTTCTACAGAAGTTTCCTAAACTTTCTGAGACACAAACTCTAAACTGGGAAC